TGAAGAATGGTACAAAAAAATAGGGGAATGCAGATATCTCTTCACAATTCTTGTTTTGAGGCTGGAGAGCGTTGGCCTAGCATGCTAAAGGTCCTGGGTTCAACACCCGCCCCTCCCTAAACACCAGTGCTATTAAAAACAAAACTCTGCTTTCAATTGCTTTTGGATCCACACAGATTTCTAGATCCTATAGCAGCTCTATATTTAATTAATTTTATGAGGAATTTCTGGATCATTTTGCATGGTGGTGGTTGTAGCATTTTACATTTCTGGCAACAGTGCACAAGAGTTCCAACATATGTTACTTTCCTGTATTTATTTATGTTTCTTTTATTTTATTCTTTTATGCTGGTCTTGGGGCTTGAACACAGGGCCTAGGCTCTGTCTTTGACCTTTTTTTCTTAAGGCTAGTGCTCTACCGCTTAATGTTTGGCTCAGTCTCCTGAGTTCTTAGGATTACAGGTATCAGACACCAGTCTGGTTTTATAATGGCCATTCTAGCAAGTGTGAGGGGATGTCTTAGGCTTTGATTTGCATTTCCCTAATGGCAAGTGCTGTGGAACAGCTCGTCATATTCATGAAGAATTGTCTAAGTTCTTTACCCATTTTCAGCAGAGTTGTTTTTTTTCTTATTATTATTACTATTTTTGTGCCAGTCTTGGGGCTTGGGCCACATTTCCACTTCTGGCTTTTTTTTTGATGATTAGTTTTTTGATGATTAATTTTTTGATAATTAATTCCTGCCCAGGCTAGCTTTAAACTGTGATCCTCAGATCTCAGCTTACTGAGTAACTGAGATTACAGGTGTAAACCACTGGCACCTGTACTATTTTCTTATTATTGAATTGGGTTTCTTATATGTTATTAATCTTTTTTTTCCTTCTCATTCTGTAGGTTCCTTCTCAGTCCTGTTGATTGTTCCTTTGCTGTGAGAAGTTTTGGAGTTTGTGGAACCCCATTTGTCTAGTTTTTGGGTGCTTGTGGTTTGGTGTCATAGCCAAAAAATCACTACTGAAATGTTTTCTTGCGTGAATTTTACACCTTGGGAGCTTTACTTTTGGCAGTGCTGGGGATTGAACACATGTTCGACAGCTCATGTAATTCTGAGCTGCATTTCATCTTTAGTTTTTTTTTCCATCTACTTTTGAGTGGTGTGTGTGTGTGTGTGTGTGGTATAAGATAAGGGTTCAATCTCATTCTTTTGCATGTAGATAATTCAGTTTCTTGAGTACCAGTCTCTTTATTGAAGAAACTCTCTTTTCCCTGTTGTGTAATTTGGGAGCTTTGCCAGTAATCATCTGATTGTATATTTGACCCTAGATTTATTTCATTTATCTTCATTTGGTCTATCTAAGTGCTAGTACCATTGTATTCTGATTATCTTAGTTTTATAATCTATTTTAAAGTCAGTAAGCATGAAGCCTTCAGCTTTATTCTATTTTTCTTGTCCTCTAGTTGGGTTTGGCTAATTATTACGCTTCAGTATGAATTTTAGGATTCTGAAATTTTAGGATTTCTGAAAAAAAAATCCAGTTTTCTTTTGGAAGGAATCATATTTAATTTCAAGATTGGGTAGTGTAGATATTTTAACAGTCCATGAACAAGGGAAGGCTTTTTATTTACTTGTGCTTTTCTAGGTTTCTTTCAGCTATGCTTTGTAGTTTTCAGTGTATAACTCCTCTACCTCCTTGATATATTTATTCCTGTTTCCTTCTTGGATGATTTGCTGTTAGTATATAGAGACAAAAAATATTTTTGTACAGTAATTTTATATCTTGCAGATTTGCTGAATTTGCTATTTATTTCTAACAGTTTTTTTCTTCGTGTGTGTGTGTGTGTGTGTGTGTGCAAAATCATAAAGACTTTTATATGTATAAAATCAAGTCATCTGTGAGGAGACATGAGTTTAAGACTTCCTTTACATTTGGAGGCCTATCTTTTGTTGCTGTTGTTGGTCATGAGGTTTGAACTCAGGGCCTGGGTGTTGTCCCTGAGGTTCTTTGCTCAAGACTAGCCCTCTACAACTTTGACCCACAGTTCCATTTCTGGTTTTTTTGGTGATTAATGGAAGATAAGAGTCGCACAGACTTTCTTTCCTGGGCTGTGGGCTCGCTTTGAACCTTGATCCTCTGATCTCAGCCACCAGTGCCCAGCTATTTGGATGCCTTTTATTTCTTGTTCTTACCTATTTGGTCTGGCTTTGTGTCCTGCTGCTGTGCTGAACAACATGGCAAGTGTGAGCATCTTTCTCATTCCTGGCCATGGAGGCTTGTACCATGAGGAAGAAATGAACTTTTAATCTGTGGAAATTATATAGAAATAATTTTATTCTATTCTTATTGTCTTCATCCTGTTTGTCTTGAAAGGATGTTAAATGATTTTTTTCTGTATCTTTTGATATGACTATGTGGATGTTAGCCTTAATTCTGTGAATGTGGTATACAAATTGGCTTTTGACTGTTGAACCATCCTTGCATTTCAGCAGTAAATCCCACTTCATTACGATTCTACTTTAATGTGCTGTTCAATTTAGTTTTTAAATATTTTTGAGGAGTTTTACATTTATATTCATTGGAGGATATTGACTTATAGTTTTTCTCTTGTTTTTGTTGTTATTGATATTGGCTTACAGTTTTTCTTTTGTTGTTTGCTTTTCTTGTGTAGTCTTATATAAACTTTGGTAGTTGGGTAATAGAAGAGTCTGAAAAAGATTAGCATGAATTCCTTTTGAATGTTTTGTAGAATTCTGCTGAGAAGCCAACTGGTCCTGGTTATTCCTTGTGGGATGATTTTTTTTTTTTTTACTGCTATTTCTGTCTTCTAGTTATTTATCTGTTTAGATTTTCTATTTCTTTATGACTCAGTATTGGTAGGTTGTATGTTTCTAGGAATTTGTTTTCTTTCTTTTTTCTTTTTGGGGTGGGTGTGGGTGTGGGGTCTGGTCATGGGGCTTGAACTCAGGGCCTGGGTACTCTTCCTGAGTTCTTTTGCCCAATGCTAGCACTCTATCACTTTGAGCCACAGCTCCATACCTATGGAGGTTAGTTGGTGATAAGAGTCTCACAGACTTTCTTGCCAAGGCTAGCTTTGAACCTTGATCCTTAGATCTGAGTCTCCTGAGTAGCTAGGATTACAGGTATGAGCCACCAGTGCCCAGCTAGGAATTTATTTGTTGGTGTATAATTATTCATAGTAGTCCCTTACCAAACAGCATCAAGTTGTAATATCTTTTATTTAGATTTTGAGTCTTTTTTAAGTTCTTCATCTAGTTAAAGCTTGTTCAATTGTATTGGTCTTTTAAAAAAATGGAATCCATTTTCATTGTTCTTTTTTATTCTGTGGTTAATTTATTTCTGCTTTAGTTATTATTACTTTTACTAACTGAAAGCTTAGTTTGTTCTTTGCCTAGTTTTTGAAGTAAGAGAGCTACATTATTTCTTTGTAAACTTTCTTTTTTTTTAAATGTAGGCATTTAAACCTATCAACTTCCTTAGCATTGTTTTTTACCATACTTTTGTTACATTGAATTTTCCTTTTCCTTTTTCTCAAAATACCTTTTGATTTTCCCCACCCTCATTGTAATCATGTGACTACATGATTGTGACTACAGTTTATTTATATATTATTTTAGTTTCATGTTATTTAATTTCTATTTATTTGTGAATTTTCCAGTTTTCTCACTGCTGTTAATTTTAAGGTTTATTCTAACGTGATTGGCAAAAAAATAGGTATGATTTTATGTTTTCAAAATGTAAGGTTTGCTTTGTGACCTATATGATCTATTTGGGAAATGCTCTAGGTATGTTTGAGAGGGTGTATTTCATTCTGCTACTGCTGGGTAGAATATTCAATACATCTGGTAATCTCCTTTGGCCATTTGGACTAAAGTCCTCTGTGGCTTTTTTCCCCTCCCCCTACCTTTATTGTGTGTGTGTGCTGGTCCTGGAGCTTGAACTCAGGGCCTAGGCACAGTCTCTGAGCTTTATTGCCCAAGACTAGTGCTGTACCACTTGAGCCACAGCATCACTTCCAGCTTTTTTTTTGGTGCTTAATTGATGATAAGAGTCTCATGGACTTTCCTACCTAAACTTGAGATCCTCAGATCTCAGCCTCCTGAGTAGCTAGGATTATAGGCCTGAGCTAGTAAATGATCTTCCATTTAGATGTTGTATCTGTTATTAAAATGGGATACTGAAAGCTGCTCTTATTTTTTAGCTATCTATTTCTTCCTTCACTTCTGTCAATGTTTGGTACATACATTTTGGTGCTCTGACTTAAAGTTTATATTGTCTGATGTAAGTATAGTCCCTGTGTAAGTTAACTTTTTATTACTGTTAACAACTTAAGGAGAGAAAAGGTTTAGTTTGATTTATAGTTTTCTGTCCATGATTAGTTGGTTGGTCCATTGTTTGAGCCCATGGCAAGGCAGAACAGCATGGTGGAAACATGTGGAGGAAGAAGCCCATTCATCTAATTCATGGCTGGTTGTGAAAGAGAGAGGAAAAGGCTGTATCCCACACTTTCCTTCAAGGGTGCACACACCCAGTTACCTAACTTCCTCTAGGCCCCACCTCCTAAAGACTCTATAACTCTTAACTGCATGAAGAGGTAAGGATTACACCTCCACGTGTACATCTTTGTGAGATATTCCAGATTAGAACTATAGCACTTCTGCTCTGTTTTGACTTTCTGCTGCAGGAAATATTATTGTCCATCTCTTCACTGTCAGCATCTGTGTAATTGTAAACTCAAAGTGAGTTTCTGGTAATCAGTATAGTTGGATTCCTCCCCCTACCCCTCACCTCTGTCTCTGTCTCTGTTTCTGTCTTTGTCTCTCTTTGTATCTCTGTATCTCTCAGCTATCAAAAGAATGATAAAAAACCAGTTTCTTTGCACTCAGTAAGTGCATATGCTTTTATATTCGTCTTTCTCAAAACAAAAGGCTGTGATTTTTAAATTGTTCTTCTTCTCCTCTCTTTTTCCTTTAACAGAAACAACACAACAACACATCTGATTCTTTGACAAAACCATATCCTGGTCTTGAAAATGTGTACTCCAAACCCAGGAAGTTGGGTTACCTTTGATGATGACTCTGCTTTTCAATCTTCTCAAAAGCCAAAGAATTTTCCTTCAGAGAACCAAGGTGTCTGTAGACCAAATGGACTTAAGCTGAACCTTCCTGGCCTTCGAGAATTTCCCAGTGGCTCTTCCTCTACCAGCAGTACCCCACTTCCCTCTCCCAGTGTAGATTTTTACTTCAGTCCTGGACCTCCTAGTAATTCTCCTCTTTCTACACCTACCAAAGACTTCCCAGGGTTTCCTGGCATCCCCAAAGCAGGGACTCATGTGCTGTACCCTATTCCAGAATCTTCTTGCCCTCCTACAACAGTCGGAGCATGTTCCTCTGTACCACCTATGACACCAACTTGTATATCCCCTGACCACTCATGTATGCTTCCAGCTCCCAGAGTGGACATTCCAGATAGAACCAGCCCACAGCAGGCCCAACACCTAGGGTCCCAAAGCGATGCTCCCCAGTTTCAGTATTTTCGGGAGGACTGTGCTTTTTCAAATCCATTCTGGAAAGATGGAGGTGGTGCTTCTCAAGTTACTTTTGACCCCTCAGGAAGCAGAAAGACATTCTCATCACGAGACAAAGAGATGCCTATTGATCAAAAAAGTCTAAATAAGTGTTCACTCAACTACATCTGTGAGAAGCTCGAACATCTCCAATCAACTGAGAACCAAGACCCTCTTGGAAATGTGTTTATACAGGATGTAGATGTTGAAGACCCACATTCTTCCTTTATCCCCCACATGCTCTTCAGGAGTCAGCCAAAAGCCGGATGGTCCTTCATGATGAGAATTCCTGAGAAGAAGAACATGATGTCTTCTCGGCAATGGGGACCGATTTTTCTAAAAGTGTTACCTGGAGGGATATTGCAAATGTATTATGAGAAGGGGTTGGAGAAACCATTCAAAGAGTTACAGCTCGATCCTTACTGCAGACTGTCAGAACCTAAAGTGGAGAACTTTAGTGTGACTGGAAAGATCCATACTGTGAAGATTGAGCATGTGTCCTACACAGAGAAAAGGAAATATCATTCTAAGACAGAAATAGTTCATGAGCCAGATATTGAGCAGATGTTGAAGTTGGGGTCCACAGAGTACCGGGACTTCCTTGACTTTCTCACTACTGTGGAGGAGGAGCTGATGAAGCTACCAGCTATTTCAAAACCAAAGAAGAGCTACGAGGAGCAGGAAATTTCCCTGGAAATTGTGGATCACTTCTGGGGTAAAGTCACAAGAGAAGATGGGAAATTGGTGGAAAGTGCTGTGATAACTCAGATCTCTTGCCTCTGCTTTGTGAATGGGAATATGGAATGCTTTTTAACCCTGAATGACCTTGAGCTGCAGAAACAAGATGAGAACAGTTTTGAAAATGACCCAGAAAAGAAGGGGATCCATATTCTCGACTACCATTTTCATAAGTGTGTGAAAGCCTCAGAATTTGAGCAATCAAGAGTCATTAAATTCATGCCTCTTGATGCCTGCAAATTTGAGCTGATGCGTTTCAAGAGTCTTTATGAGGGGGACGAACTTCCGTTCTCTCTGAAGTCTGCAGTGGTTGTCCAGGGGGCTTCTGTGGAACTACAGGCTTTTGTCAATATGGCCCCAGTGGCCCAGAGGCCATCCCAAGCCAATTCCTTGAGGTACTGTGACAATATCACGATCCACTTTCCTGTCCCATCTCAGTGGGTCAAGGCCCTCTGGACCATGAACCTCCAGAGGCAGAAGTCCTTGAAAGCCAAAATGAACCGCCGGGCATGTCTGGGTGGTTTCTATGAACTTGAGTCTGAACCTGCTGTTCTCGTCACTGTGGGGTCAGCAAAGTATGACAGTGCCTACCGGGCTGTGGTGTGGAAGATAGATCGACTTCCCGATAAAAATTCAAGTAAATATCTCACACCTATGTTGGCTTTTAGGGGAAGTAGCTTAAATGCTTTTTGGGTTTGATGGTAACTCATCAGCAGAGGCCTTACTTATGTAGAGGGGGGTGGGATATGAACACTGAACCAAACAGCTGCTTTGTGTCCTCTGGTGTCTACTTCTAGCAGAGAAGTTGAACTTTTCTGTCTCTTTAATAGCATAAGTTATGCCATCGGAGGCAAGGCATTTGTTGTGGAAGATGATACCAAGGAAAAATTGGTGATATCAACCTGCCAACCTCAAATATTAAAATATTAATATCAATTAATTAATATATTAATGAATATACTAATATATTCATTAATATATTAATAAAATATTAATATTAAAATATTTTAATATTAAAATATTAAAAACATTTCTAATGTAGTTTAGATTCCCTCACTCATCTTTAAAGGTTCACCATCTGGGTCTTGCACACGATTTTTAGTTTACTTCAGCCACTATTTAGCCTCCTTAGGTTTTGCTGTTTGCTCTGTGTGTGTGTGTGTGTGTGTGTGTGTGTGTGTGTGTGTGTGTGAATTGTTCTAGGGCTTAAATTTAGGGCCTCACACCATCACTTGGCTTTTTTTGCTTAAGGCTGGCAACTCTACCATTTGAGTCACACCTCCACTGGCTTTTTGATGGTTAAGTGGAGATATAAATCTTCCCCCAGGAGAACTGCCCTGTCACCAGGGTGAGGAGCCCTTTCTTATGGTCTGTGAGTAATCTAGAACAGGAAGTGGTCCAGTGGACTTTAGTCCCCTACACTGGACTGTTTCCTTGTTCCTGATTTGCAGTTTGCTGGTGTAACATGTCTTGGCTGACTGGAGCTTGAGCTACAAACAGGAGCCAGCAGGTAGGAGAAGCAGGCTTGGTAGGCTGAAGATCCTGAGCTCCTGTGCAGAGAGGAAGTGAGGCCTCAAGACAGGGTATGGGTAAGCGAGAAGGTAGAAAGAGTTGCCCAGGAGAGTGAAGATGGCCTGGGGTGCTTTCATATTTACCCGTTAAATTAGGTCTGTTTCCTAGTGCTGGCTGCATGTTACTCGTGAAAGCTTTGTACACACTGGCTGAGCATCACTACAGACACTGGGAATCAGCCAGTTGTCCAGGGGTCATGCCTATAATCCTGGCCATTCAAAAGGCTGAGATGTGAGGATTGATTACAGGTTGAAGGAAAGTCTATGCGACTCTTATCTTCAATTACCACCAAAAAGTTAGGAATATAGCATGGCTCAAGTGGTGGAGCACAGCCTTGAGTGAAACAGCTACTAGATAGCACCCAGGCCATGAGGTTGAGCCCCACCACCACCACCACCACCACCACCACTACTACTACTAGTTACTACTACTACTACTACTATGACTACTACTACTATACACACACACACACACACACACACACACACACAGAATTGGAAATCTGTAATTGTGAAATTCTCCAAACATTTTTTGATCGTAGACTGATGAAAATTCCACACCATGAAAACTATTTTATTCACAAAAGTATTTAACATATGGTATAAAATTACCTTTCAGGTATGCAGAGGGAAAATATGAAGCATAAATAAATTTATATTTAGACTTGGGTCCCATCTCCAAAGTATCTTATTATATGCAAATATTACAAAGTCCAACCGGGCGCTGGTGGCTCATACCTGTAGTCCTAGCTACTCAGGAGGCTGAGATCTGAGGATTGCAGTTTGAAGCCAGCCAGGACATGAAACTCCATGAGACTCTTTTCTCCAATTAATCACAGAAAAAGCTGGAAATGGTGCTGTAGCTCAAGTGGTAGAGAGCTCGCTTTGAGCAAAAGAAGCTCAGGGATAGTGCCCAGGCCCAGCATTCAAGCCCCAGAACCAGCAAATAAATAAATAAAAACAAAAACATAAAAAATTACAAAGTCCAGAAAAAATAATCTGAGACATTGCTGCATAATCTTTTCCTTCCTTCCTTCCTTCTTTCCTTCCTTCTTTCTTTCCTTCCTTCCTTTCTTCCTCTCTCCTTCTCTTTCTCTCCTCTTTCTCTCCATTTCTCTCCCTTTCTTTCTCTGTCTCTTTCTCTTTTCTGCCAGTCCTTGGGCTTAAAAGCAGGGCCCGAGTGCTACCCTGAGCTCCTTTTGCTCAAGGCTAGCACTCTACCACTTGAACCATAGATCTATTTCCTGCTTTTTTGCTTGTTTATGGGAGATAAGAGTCTCATGACCTTTCCTGCCCAGTGTTGGCTTTGAACCATGATTCTGAGATCTCAGTTTCCTGAGTAACTAGGATTATAGACCTGAGCCTCTAGTGTCAGGCCACTTCTGCATTTTGAATTTTCTGCATTTTGTGCCAATCAGATTGGAGGTGAAGCCCAGCTTCAGGGCTTTGTAAGAGGCTCTTCCACTCCTGCAGTTAAGACTGAGAGCCACTGGCTGGTTGTGCAGGGACACACTTGGTGTGGTCTCTGCAGAGATGCTCCCACCCTGGGCAGTGTGTCTGTCTTCTACAGGCCTGCCAAACTCCTCCCAGGGGTGTTTCCCAGCACTTGAGCTCTCTGAGAACAATGCTGGGAACCGATAGTTCTGGAGAAGTAGGTTTCACTTAGCCTTGGCCTCCAAAGATTCTTTCTGGAGAGTTTCACAGTACCAGGCTCACTGAGGAACATTGTTTTGCAAGGATTTCAGTAAACTTCTGGGAAGACATATTGAACAAATCAGAGCTGCAAAAGACAGAATGAGAAGAGGCCCACAAACAAGGCAGTAGGGTTTTATCTGGAAATGGAGGCTCTCATTGGCTGGGAGTGGGACACTTCCTGAATCATTCAGCGCTGTCCTGACCGCTGCATTATGGGATTGAGGAGGTCAGGTAGAGAGTACAAAGATGCTGGGCTGGCTGCGTCTATTTCCCATTGAGAAGCAGGGTGAGCAGAGGAAGTGGGAGGGGGCAATCTCTGCCCTTCCTGTCAATTTTTTTTAACCTTTAGTGTGTCCTTGAATTACCTTGTGAATGTGATTTAGCAGTGATTCAATAGGTGACCCTGAACCCACTGTGATCTACCATGCGCTGCTGTAAGCCTGTGGACCCCTCTTATACTGGTGAGCCCTAGAACTTGTGTCTCTCTATAGATGATTTTAGGTCATTGTGTATTTTACAGAGCCAAGGATTTTTCAAAAGGTGTTCAGGTTGGATGTGGTGGCACAAGCCTGTAATCCTAGCTACTTGGGATGTAGAGATTGGGATATCATGATTCAAAGCCAACCTGGGTATGAAAGTCCTTGAGACTCCACCAATGACTCGGTGTGGTGAGCTGTGAGGGAGGGAAAGCCTGGTGGCACATGCCTGTCATCTCCAGGGGCATAGGAGGACAACTGCAGCCTAGGTTGGCCTAGAACCATACTAACCAATGCAAAAAGGGGCTAGACACATGGTTCAGGTAGTAGAGCACCTGCCTACCAAGCCAGAATCCTTGAGTTCAAACCCAAGTACTTTTAAAATGTTATCTGTTTGAGAGTTTTTGAGGTTTCTGAAATGCCTGCACTATAAGAAAAGTACTTTGAGCATGGATCGTGACAGGGAACATGTGAACTCATTTACTACTAAACATTGTTGGCTTTGCCTTCCTTTGTGGGGATTTGTGAAGACAGGCCTGATCTTTCCTATTGGTGGGATCACTGAGCTGTGACGCTAGGACAGGCAGGAAGGGCTGCCGGTCATTCCAGTGTCTTCAAGCTTGCTAACTGCCTCGTACTCCTTTAATACTTTGCAGCAAACATGGCTTCATGCATAGTAAGGTAGGAAGGATGACAGAGAGCTTAGGGCTTGGCAGGGAGAATGAGGACAGGTGACGAGTCTTGTATATATACAGGAGGTATATATGACGGTCCAGAATTAGAAAGGGGATCACTTTCCAGTCATTTTCTCTTTTATCTACTTTTCTGTCTGTCCTCTGTAGTTTGGTTGTTTTCCTCCCCCATCTGTGTCAGTCTCCCGTAGTTCATTTCCTTCAACTCTGAACAATTCAGCTTCCGACATGAAATATTTTGGCTTTCCACGGGTTGGATTTAAGATTTGTGGTTTGTATTTCCCATCCAGAGCCAAGAGGTGAGAGAATCACACCATCAAAGCTTGAGACTGCCCCCTAGTGGAATTAAGGACACCCACAATAGTTGCTTCAGTGCAGTTCAAAGTTTTCAAAAACTGGGAAGACAGTCCAGAAAACGTGAAAAGGCTCTTATTGCTCACCAGTTTCTCTTCTTGTCTTTTCTCTTCTCTTCTTTCTCTTTCTCTCTTTTTTTAAAAAAGAAAATCAGTAGAAATGTTTTGTTTCCTTTTCAGATTTTTCAATTTTCACTGCAAAACTTCTCCACGACTTTTTTCCTGTAAAACATGAATATGACATTAAATTACTTACAACATCGATTTAAATTATACACCTATAGAAGTCACAGTTCTTTACTAGCAAAATTAGAAAGGATATTAATAATGCATTTGAAATCAAATAGCATGTGATAATCATATATGACATAGGTACAACATATCTTTATCATATAGTACATTTTACAACTCAGTGTGTATGGCTGGTTGGTTAACCCTCAAAGCAACCTGGTGTAGTCAAGGTTAATATCATTTCCAATGAGGAAAGTGAGGCTTAGAGAGGTGAGTAACTTGCATAGAATCACATAGCTAATATGTAGAAGTGCTGAGATTGGCCTCTGGGCCATGTAGGCCCAAATTCCTGTTCTACTGTCCTCCCTCCCTCCCTCCCTCCCTTCCTTCCTTCCTTCTTTCCTCCCCACCCCTCTCTGTTGTTTATGGTGATAGTGGAGATTGAACTCAGGGCATCATATTTGCTAGCGAGAGACTCTTATTTTAGCCACTCCTCCAGCCCCCTTTTGCATTGATTATTTTCAAGTTAGAGTCTTGCTTTATGCTTGGGCTGAACTGGGCTGCGAGGCTCCTACTTTTAATTCCCTATTTGCTACGGATGAGAGGTGTGTGCTTCCATGTCCCAGCCATTTGTTGAGATAGAGTCTCACAAACTTCTTGTTGTACCTGAGCTGGCCTTGAACCTTGAATCCCCTGATCTCTACCTCCCAAATAGCTAGGATAATAGACTTAGGGCCACCATGCCTGGCCAAGTTTGTGGAACAGGCCTGGAAAGTGTTGGGACTAGATGTGAATGAGTTTACTATGCCTGTGATGCATCTAGATGTCTGGAAAGGATAATGGATGGTGGACACTAGGTGGGTGTCTGTGAATGAAGCTGTGGCCGCCTGCAGTGATGTGGGCGGCCGAGGGCCCCTCACAACCACCTTTGTCCTCTTCTCCATGTAAGCAGCCGAGATGGCTAATGAGCAACTGTTGGTTAATTGACGGATGATTTCTTAAGGCCTTTTGCAGCCTTGAGATGCTATTAGTCTCTCTACAAGAAATGGGCTGTAAAGAATGAAAGGTGATTTATCTTTGAAGAATTAAGTGAAATCCTTTAAACTCCTGTTTTGGTGCCTAAAGCTATACTCTGATGAAAATCTTATGGTGGTGGTATACTAGTTTATCTGGCATTTGAAACTACTGCCATTTCATCCATTTAGTTAAGTAAAGAGGGCCAGAGAGGATGTGTAGATACAGTGAATAATGTGACAGAAGCCTGGGTCAATTCTCTCTCTCTCTCATGTGTGTGTGTGTGTGTGTGTGTGTGTGTGTGTGTGTTGGTACTAGGGCTTGAACTCATGTCCTTTAGCCTTGTCACTCAAGGCTGACACTCTATCATGTAAGTGTTATCTCCACCAGTGGCTTTTTGATGGTTAATTGGAGATAAAAGTCTCACAGACTTTCCTGTTCAGAGTAGTTTTGAACTGTGATCCTGAGATCTCAGCCTCTTGAGTAGCTAGGATTACAGGCATGAACCACCAGTACCCAGCCCATGGGCCATTTATAAAGGTACTACTATGGAAATAATTTTACCTTATAGAACACATATACCACAAACCATGTCCTGCTTAAGATCTTGGAGTATAGCCAGCATCTCTGGGTCTGGCACAGAGACCAACCTGGTAGAATATACGTGCACAGTAACAACAAATTGAGTGGAATGAGAGCAAACATTAGACTCAGATAAGTATGCCTTCTCTATACTGCACATCTGTTCCCATCAAAGATTTTCAGAAGTACCATAGAATGACAATAGTGAAAAGCCATCTGTTCTACAGAAAAGAAAAAAGACAGCAACAACAGAATTTTTGGCTTGGAATATTTTCTGAAATGTAATACAATTGCATGTTTAATTTAAAAATATCAAATTAAAAAATCAGTATGACTTAGTTTGAAGGTTACTTTTGCATCATCTATAAAGGGAAAATCAATGGAGAATTATGAAAGTTTATTCTGTGTTCTTAAAAAGAAGAGAGTTCAGCAGGACTGAAACACATTGTAGTCAAATATCTTTCATTGTGATTAGCGAAAACTTTATAATATTTGTAATTAAAACATATTTCAGTGATGGTTTGCACCTGTAATCCTAGCTACTTAAGAGGTTGAGATCTGAGGATCAAGATTTGAAGTCAATGGTATGGGGAAACAAAGGAGGAGACAACAATGCTTGATAAGAAATGTACTCAGAGCTGGGTGCCGGTGGCTCACGCCTGTAATCCTCGCTACTCAGGAGGCTGAGATCTGAGGATTGCGGTTCAAAGCCAGCCTGGCAAGGAATGTCCGTGAGACTCTTATCTCCAATAAACCACCAGAAAACTGGAAGTGGCACTGTGGCTCAAGCGGTAAAGTGCTTGCCTTGAACTGAAGAGCTGAGGGACAGCGCCCAAGCCCAGAGTTCAAGCTCCATGACCGACCAAAAAAGAAAAAAGAAATATACTCACTATCTTGTCTATGTAATTGTAACCCCTCTGTATGGTATTTTCACAATAATAATAAAAAAAAAAGATTTGAAGCCAGCCTGGGCAGGAAAGTCTGAGAATCGCTTAGCTCCAATCAACTACCAAAAAGCTGGAAGTGGAACTGTGGCTCAAATGGTAGAGAATCAGCCTTGAGTGAGAAAACAAACAAACAAGGGACAGTGCTCAGGCCCTGAGTTAAGCCCCAGTACTGGCACAAAAATAAAAAGAAGAGAAGGCAGAAAAGCCATTTCCAGGGAGATTGTGCAGGTAATGACCTGGCTGGCTGGGACTGCACGCTGTCAGCTGCTGGGCTTGCCAGTTTCTCTGCTAGTTAACTGGCGCCTGTTGTATTCAAGACAAACTTTCCCTCACTACCTCACTATTGGAATACACTGACCATTTGCTTTTTGTTTCTTCCAGGTCCAGATCATCCTCATTGTCTGTCGTACAAACTTGAACTTGGATCAGACCAGGAAATCCCCTCGGATTGGTATCCATTCGCTACCGTGCAGTTTTCAATGCCTGACACTTACGCCTCCAGGACCGCGGTCCAGTCTCTCGGGGTAGAGAGTGACATCCAGCCCCAGAAGCATGTTCTGCAGCGGGCTTGCTTCAACCTCCAGGTGCGTCCATCTTTGCGTCCACGGCTGGGCCCAGGCTCACCTTTAAGTGTGCCCCCTGTCCTTCAACCCTGGGGCTTGAACTCGGGCTTTTACAAAAAATTATTATTATTATTATTGCAAGTCCTGGGGCTTGAACTCAGGGCCTGGGCACTGTCCCTGAGCTTCATTGGCTCAAGGCTAGCACTCTACCACTGGAGCCACAGTACCACTTCTGGCTTTTTCTGTTTGTGGTGCTGGGGAATTGAACCAAGGGCTTCATGTATATCAGGCAGGCACTCTGCTACTAAGCCACATTCCCAGCCCCTATCCCTGAGCTTTTTGGCTCAAGGCTAGTACTTTACCACCTGAGCCAGAGCTCCACTTCTTGATTTCTTTGGTACTGAATTGGGGATTAACATCTTGTGGACTTTCTTGCCTGGCTGCCTTTGAACCACAATCCTATTGAGTAGCTAGGACTACAGGCATGAGCCACAGGCATTCAGTCTGCCCCCTGCCCCTCTTTCTCTGTGATGATAAATGATTTCAAAGATCCCAGCTATGGAAACTTGATGGGCACTATGGACTTTAGGAATTCAAAGAAAAGTTAATACAGTGTTCAACAACAACAACAACAAAACCCAGCACATTAAAAACAAATCACTGTCTTATACACACATTTATAATATAAATCACCATGTTCAAATAGTATTTTCCCAAATATATTCTATGGAAATGTCTGTGTCTTAGGTCATGAAATGCCATGCATGAAATGAATATCAAATGAAAGCTCTGAGGAGTCCTGCCATAAAGAGCGTTGTTTAGGGTACCCAACCTAGCCTCCTCCAGTTCACTGACTGAGGAGTCTGGGGGGGGGGCGGGGCAGAGGACACATGTGGAAGTGCTCACATGGTGGTCTGTGGAGCCCCCTGTGGGACATGCTGGTGACATGATTGTAAGGGTTTTAAGTGTTCACTGTCAGCTCTCTGGCAACTTGGGCTAGATGAATTCTAGAGTGACCTACACTTACACCTGTCTCTAAACTTACATTTCCTTCTTCAAGGTTGGTAGACATGTGGAGAATGTATGTTCAGTATTTCCTGTAGAATCTGAAAATGGTGACATATGTTGCTGCTTTTGTTTTATTATTATTATTATTTTATTTTTTTGTCAGTCGTGGGGCTTGAACTTTGGGCACTGTCCTTCAGCTCTTCAGCTCAAGATTAGCACTCTATCACTTGAACTACTGCACCACTTCTGGCTTTTTCTGTTCATGTGGTGCTGAGGAATTGAACCCAGGACCTTATGCATACAAGAAAACACTCTACCACTGAACCACCTTCCCAGCCCCTCAGGTAGTTTATTGGAGATATGGCTGGCTTTGGACCGTGATCCTCAGATCTCAGCCTCCTTAGTAGCTAGGATGACAGGTGTGAGCAACCAGCGCCCAGCTGTTCTTTGGTTTTTTTTTAGGTTTTTAAAAAAAGTATGTATTTTTTTAAGTACAGGGTTTTAATATGTAGTCTAAGCTGGCCTGAAACTTGTGATCCCTCTCCCCCAGCCTCTAAGTGCGTGGATTACAAGAATGCACCACAGCACCAGGCTGCATCTTCAGTTTTGATTGCATTTACTAGCTGGTCGATAACTGTTGGCAGTTCCAAAATGCTATTTCCCATTGAATCAAGATCTGCTGAGCATGTCACAGTAGCGGGAGCTGCTGGTGGCTCATTCCTGTAATCCTGCTTGAGAACCTAGCCGTACACAAGAGACAAAGTTCATGCTCCTATGGAGTTTCTGGTGGGGGAAATAAACAAGTAATAAGCAAATAACGGAACTTCAAATAGTGGCAAATTCTGAAAGGGGAATAAAAAGGGACAAGGTCTTTTTTTTTTTTTTAAATCTAGTGTGGCTCAGGAGGACCTCCGTGATGAGCTGACACTGCATTTCACGTAGAAAGAGTGAAGGCAGCTGGATAGGCACTGTGGCTCCTACCTATAATCCCTGCTACTCAGGAGGCTGAGATCAGAGGGTCATGGTTTGAAGTCAGGCTTGGCAGAAAAGTCAGTTAACCAGCAAAAAAGAAGAAAAAGAGGAAGAGGAGGAGGAAGAGGAGGGGGAACAGGAGGGGGAGCAGGAGGGGGAGGGGGAAGAAGAGGGGATCTGTGACTCAGGTGGTAGAGAGCCAGCCAGCCTTTCATGAAAAAAGACAAGCAAGAGTGTGAAGCCCTGAGTTCAATATAAAGAAATGATGAAGCCGGGTGCTGGTGGCTCACGCCTGTAATCCTAGCTACTCAGGAGGCTGAGATCTGAGGATCTCGGTTCAAAGCCAGCCCGGGCAGGAGAGACTGTGAGACTCCTATCTCCAATAAACCACCAGAAAACCGGAAGTGGTGCTGTAGCTCAAGTGGTAGAGCGCTTGCCTTGAGCTGAAGAGCTGAGGGACAGCGCCCAGGCCCAGAGTTCAAGCCCCACGACCAACAAAAAAAGAAAAAAAAAAAAGAAATGATGAAGGCAGACAGTTTGGCTCACCCAGGTTACCAGCCATAAACTAGGTTAATTAGACATATTTTAAATTTTTTTTTGGCCAGTCCTAGGGCTTGAACTCTGGGCCTGAGTGCTGTCCCTCAGCCTCTTTTGCTCAAGGCTAGCACCCTACCACTTGAGCCACAGTGCCACTTCTGGCTTTTTCTGTTTATGTGGTGCTGAGGAATCAAACCCAGAGCCTCATGCATGCAAGGCAAGTACTCTATCACTGAGCCACCTTCCCAGCCCTAGACATAATTTTTAGTGTGTTCTCCCTTCCAGAGATGCTCTCTGGATCTCTGATGTCCTTGGAATTGCTGATTCCCTGTCTAGCCAGATCTGTCAATATCTTAACAGCAAACATCTCAAAATTAAAATTCATGTTTTGATATCATGTGTGAATTCATGTTTTAAGTAACAAAAATTTGTGATAGAAACATAAAAAAAATCTGGATCAAAACTATGACTCAGGAGTGTTTGGGTTTGGCCTTGGAGGGAAGGATCGGCGGACTCTATCAGGAAGCAGAGCACCTCAGTTCTGAGCGGGCATGTGTGAGGGCAGAAGGGACGTGTGTGTCTACAGGGTCTTTGGCTCATGTGTAAATAGGACAGAAGAGGGGTTGGCGTTGTGTTACCTCTGCTAATGCTACCTGTGTCTTGCCTCTGTCTAACAGGTGGAAATAGAAAAGAAATGGATTAAAATTGATGGAGAAGACCCAGATGAAGCTGGTGGCTGTGTGGCACAGTAGGAGTTGTTGGAATCAAGGACGATGACCCATTGTCAACTGCGCCGCTCCCTGATAAGCTTCTGTCTGCTACCATGTGATGGAAGCGGCGCTGTGTGTGGACTTGTGATATGTCTTTCCCTAGGGCTGTGATCTAAAACATGTCTGTAATTTGTATGACTCTTGGCTGCTGTCTGTGAGCCATGTTAACTGATTTGATCGTTCAGTGACTTGGTTCTCTTCTCTGGGTTACCTCCATGTTGTCTTAGTAGCTGGACCACAGAGGAAAGCAAACAAAAGGAGACACATGGAAACATTTCATTCCCTCTCTTGCTTGTCTCTGAAATCTGGCTAGGTGGAGATTGGAGTTGGAACCATAAGTGAAAATGGAGATTTGGGAGTCTCTACCTGTGGCTCTGAGTAGTTTCTGTTTGTTTCTGTTCCTCTGAGCACACTGGCAAGTGAGGGCTGGCTGTATTTCAGATTTTAATGCAAGCCACTAAAACATACTGGTGGGTGGGATTCCTTTCAAAATGCAGCAAGAGCATCAGACATGAGTTAAAATATTTATGTATATAAAAGATGTATTTTTAAAGTTGATGAATATTGTTTTTTAAAAGTTCAGACTCTAGAATGGATTTTGACACAGTATTACTTGCAATGAATACCAGGCTCTCTGGAGTGGAAGTCTAAATCATATGATGATTATTTTATGTTAGTGCTACTATCATGTGATTTTATGTGAATTTTACTTAATTTAGAGTAGTTTTCTTTTCAGGATAAGTAAAGTGGGGAGATGCCAGGTTATTATTTTTTCTTCTTTTTCTCCTTCTACCCCCAATGCCAGGTTATTATACCTAGCTTTTTGGGAGATGATTTTCTTCAAAATCAGAGAAGTGATTGTAACTGTTTAACATCTATTGAAAACCAGTGACATGTGCAGGTATCATTCTGCTGTTAATTCCCATTTCATATTTATAGGGATAGGTCAGAAGTTTAAACTTCATGTGTTCTGAGTGTTTTTCACCTGAAAAAATGTCTTTAATATACCTTCAACTTAGGTTAGTCTTAAATATAATTGCTAGACATTTTTCTGTATTTACTAGATTTATTTTTGAGTCGAAGCTGACATTATGTCCTTCCAACTAACATTTTTGTTGGCCTATGGAGTTTTATTTCATACATTTTATTTAATATTGTATTGCTTTCATTTTCATCTATTCCAATAACAGATTAAAACAAACATTTTTTTATGGTCTGTATCAATCAGCAGATTTTATTGCTTTTCTTCTTCTTTTCTTTTTTTTAATTTTTTACTGTGAAGCCACAGAATAGAAAAGCTAGTGGTAAAAATGAATCGATAGTACCCTTTTTAACTCCATCTGATACCATATGCTAGAGACTTGCTGTTGATGTTCAGGAAGGCAAATTGGTGTGTATGTCATTTTGAAGAATTCTTGGCAGCTCATACCTATAATCCTAGTTAGTTGCTAGGGAAGCTGAGGTCTGAAGATGGTGGTTCAAAACCAGCTTGGGTACTCTAATTTCCAATTAACCAACAAAACACCAGAAATGGAAGTATAGCACAAGTGGTAGTATGCTAGTTTTGAGTGAAAAGGCTATGTAAGAGTTCAAGGCTCTGATTTCATGCTCCGGTAAGGGCGGGTGAGCGTGCACACACACACACACACACACACACACACACACACACACACACATTTCCTTATCATCTGAGATGAGCACCCTGACTTTAGTCTGTTTAGAACAAATAGGGAGATGGGTCCGATTGGATGCTATGGTATAAGCCGGGGGAAGTTAGCTTTTCCTCTCTGTGTCTTTTATGGCATCTTGCCCATAAAGAACTCAGTCTGATTCCGATGAACTGAAGAGAAATAGAGCAAAGGGCTCACCAAATCACCCCTCCTGCTTCACAGGCTCACTGGCATCTGTGGGCTCCTCACTGCTAGAGTCTTTTGCTGACAAGCCACCCAGCCTTGAGGAGCATCTCAAGATTCAGCAACAAAGACCGGCAGAGGCCCACATTGGATTTTTGCCCTATTGCAGAAGGTTGATGAACCGCAGGGCGCCACCACATAATTGTTAATTTACTCATCTATTAGGACCTTAAATATTCATTACTTAGTGTGAAATTAACATTCTGTGTAGGGAAGAGAGGCTTTTGAATACAATTCTTCTGACCTTAGAAATGGCAGGAGGTCAAACGTAACTACTGAGCGCTAAAAGAAAAAAATCATGGAGGATCCATGCAGACTTCCAGAGGAAGAAGGAGAATCCTTTTTGCCAGCAAGTCAATAATGATCTTCAAAAACACCTCCGCTTTTGAGGGAGGGAAAGCGGGAGTAAAGCAGAAATACTTCATTTCTAGCATTGTAATTGAGCTCACTTCTTTTTTTTAAACTATGTATCATTTTTATTTTTAACATTTAAATAGAAATCATGTGTCAGTGGCTTACACCTGTAATCCTAACTACTTAGGATGCTGAGATCTGAGGATTCTGGTTCGAAGCCAGCCAGGGCAGGAAGGTCCATGAGACTATTATCTCCAGTAGACCAAGAAAAAGCTGGAAGTAGAGCTGTGGCTTAAGTGGTAGAACTCTAACTTTGAGCAAAACAAACTCAGGGACAGCCAAGGCCCTGAGTTCAAGCCCCAGGACTGTTGAGCTCACTTCTTTATGTGTTGGACCGGTTTGGGGTCAGTAGTTTGACACTAGCTAACTTGCCCTCATGTAACCAGTTAGTGACGAGTCATCCTGCTGTCATGGCTATCTTTCTGCTTCCAAGGTCATGGACTTGTGCAAACGAATTAATTCATGGGTTGATCATTGCAGGATCAATTGTGTAAGTAGGAGTTTAAGAGCATTTCCTTTTTTCTAGGAGAATCACAAGAGCGTATCAACTTACGAAGGTATGACAAAAGGAGCCAGGTGCTGGTGGTGCATGCCTTAATCCCAGCTATGTAAGAGGCTGAGATATATATATATATATATATGTAAAAGAGTTCTGTATTTTCTTATTCTGGAGTTGTGCCTAGGACAGCCCTTTTTCTTATCAACTGAGTTAGAAGGCCTTCCTTCACAATGAGCATTATAATGGTTTATTCAAAATATGATCGTGGGTCCTAGCAATACAAATACAAAACAGATTCAGCCTTAATAACCATGTAACAAAATATTGTGTAGATTGTATATTGATTTTTTCCTAAAATTAAAGATGTATTTCAAATAATTCTTGCTGTGCTGTGGACTTGTAGCTTCTTTTGTAAGACCCGGGGCTATTTTTTTTAAAGGTGTGAAATCAATTTTAATAACCTTAAACAATTGCCTCTCTGTCATTCTCATGTATACAATTAAGGAGTCATTAAATGTGGCATCTTGGCATATTCTGGATAAAAAATACCACTATGAAATGCTGATGATGTCATATAGGATGATTTTTGAGAGATAACACCGCTATGACTCATAGAGAGATGAGTTGAATGTGTGAATAAGGATTTAACTCATTAATTAATGAGGAGACTGGTAAGATATTACAACTCCACTGCAAGTACTCAAAGGACAGAGCATACATAGAGGAAAAAAAAGTAAGAAATTCTGAAATGAATCTGCAGATAGGCCCAAGCCAGTCTCAGAGCAATGACAATCCCTCCCAATCTCATGGTTAATTTGCATTTCTGCTGACAAGGATCCTGGGCATTAAGATCAGTGTTTTTTTTTTTTAACCGATCTGTAAAATAATTCAAAGACAAGGAATGGTGTTGTGAGCCAGACAGGACTTGAAAATCTTCCACCATTTTTCCCAACCTAAACACAGACAGACTGTCTGCAGGCGGCTGGAACTGCCCAGCACTGGAAGCTTGTGCAGTATAATCAATGTGCATGCAAAAGCAAAGTTTCTAAATGTCAGGAAACTATGTCACCCAGCTGTGGTCGAATGTATTTAGAGAAGGTGTAAGTGGTGTGGTGGTTGTTGTGTGAAGGTAACTTGGTGCTGGTAAGACGCCAGCCTCATGAAACTGACCTTTCTACCCTTCATTGTAGAAGAAAAATGACATTTGTGGGTATTCCCCCATTTTGATTGTGACGATGCCCTCCAGAGGGGTTACAGTCATGTGGGTAAGACAATGAGCACATTTCTTGTCGCGCATTAGCACCCCCTCCTTGGTTGTTCTTCTGCTATGCACCTCCATCTAGGCCAACCTCTTCATCCTTCTCCCTCAAGTCTCCCAACCCTGCCCATGCCCTCCATTTACATAGTTCTCTTTTCACACCTCTGTCGTTGAGTATTATGATTGCATTTTCCCAACCTTTCTCCAGTTGAATTAAATGATCATTTATTTATTTATTTAGGGATGTGTGTGTTGATACTGGGATTGAACTCAGGGCTTCATGTCCTCACTTGGTTTTTTCTTTCAAAGCTGGTGGTGCTCTGCCCCATGAGCCACAAGCTCCCCCCGACCCTCACCCTGGTTTCTGGCTTTTTGGTGGTTAATTGGAAATAAGAGACTCATAGACTTTCTACTCAGGCTGGTTTTGAACCGTGGCCCTCAGATCTCAGCCTCCTGAATTGCTAGGATTACTGGTGCCTGCCTTTATTAACATGAGTATTTCAAAACTGCCTTAGCCCTTCAGAGAGGCCAGGCCCTGAGGTACTGTGCCAGCCCTTGGTTCTTATCCTCCAGGAAACAAAAGGATTAAGCGGTAGAAACTGATCACATTCAGGACAGCATTCTTCACATCCCATTAGTCACCCGGTTCTTGTTCTGTTTCAAGTCCCCCTGGACTTCCCCACCTGTGTGGACACGTGGCTTCTATGTCACCTCTCCTACACCCTCTCCATTCCCTGGACCTTCATGCCCAACCCAGCGATCTAGCATGTAGGGCAAGGAGAATCTGGTAATAGCCAGTCTGTATGGATCTTGGCATGGAATTTTATGGGACCAACCTCATTATTTGTGCATGTCCCCTGGGTAATATGAACTAAGGACATTGAAATAGGAATTTGACTATTAATTTTGTGTCTGTGTGGTGCTGGGGATGGAACTCAGGGCCTTACAATTGCTTTACTACTAAACTATATCCCCAGTTCATAATTTTTAAAGTACGATAGTTAGCAAGCAGATCATCGATTTACAAAGCAAAACAAAACAAAACCCTCTAAAAACACAAACAACCTCCCCTCCCCCAGAGAAATAAAAATTGTATGCAGCCAGGTGCTGGTGGCTCACGTAGGTAATCCTAGCTACTCAGGAGGCCCACACCTGAGGGCCACAGTTAGAAGGCAGCCCGGGCAGGAAAGTCCATGAGACTCTTTATCTCCAATTAATCACAGAAAAGGCCAGAAATGGTGCTGTGGTTCAAGGGGCAGAGTGCTAGCCTTGAGCAAAAGGAGCTCAGGGACAGTGCCCAAGCCCAGAGTTCAAGCCCCAAGACTGGGGGGAAAAAGTTGTATTCATCTCATACCTATAATCCTAGCTACTCAGGAGGCTGAGATCTAAGGATCACAGCTTGAAGCCAGCTCAAGACAGAAAAATCCATGAGATTCTTATCTCCAGTCAATCACTAAAAAGCTGAAAGTAGAGGTTTGGTCAAATACATACACACGCAAAGTTGTAAGTAACATGCCTTTAAAATCATGTCTCACCTCTAAGGGGAAGGAGAATGGATCAGTGTAATTGTCCCATAGTTTGCAGGTAAAAGTTCTTTTCCATAAGACTTCTTTGGTAAGACAAATCACCATTCTACTTTGAAATTTGTGAATTCTCCTACCTGTATCTGTACTAGCGCAGAAACCAGTTGTTAAGAAGAAATTTAGCCTATTTAAATAACATGATTGTGACTGGGTTGAAACTCACCCCCACAGCAAAAAAAACCCAACAACCCTTTTTTGTTTCACAATTGCGGTGACACCATTGAAATGTAAGTTGCAATACACTGTTATAACAGAAGAGGGCGCTCTTAGGCAAGCTGCTGCTACTCAGTATCAGAAACCTTAGCCTTTAAATTTGGTGGTGCTTGTATTATGATTAATAAAAGATCTTGAGGGCATTTTAAAAAGCATTTCAAAGCATTGTGAGTCTAGTGGAGCATGATTAAAATTAATACAGTAGACAAACCCTTTAAAGTATTCTTAATGCCTGGTCTAAAAATGCTGTTGAATACAATTTTACACATCCTAAAGGTTTAAATATTAAGCTTATCTTTAAACATTTCTAATTATTAAAGAGAGAAAAATAGCATCTTCTCTCTCTGCAGAATTAAAAAATGTTGAATGAGTTAATAATTCTCACTCTTTTTATTTAAAAAAGATTTATAAAATGTTATAATTAATCCATCTCATTTTGGCATGTTTGGAGGTTGGTGTGGTCTCCAGAAATTAGCTCCACTCTAGAATTGTAGTTCAGATTTATAGTTAAGGACAAACAAAAATATTCTTGTAGAAGAATATCTCATACTTCCTGAATTCAGAAATGAGCCATTTTGCTCTTTTAGTCCTTAGGAAGTAAT